TAACATCGAGATCTGAGTGAGTGTTATCAAGCACGTAGTGATAATCCAGGATAACTGTCCTCTCCAATGAGGTATGAGTTGATGTTATACTCGGCTGATGGCATGCAGTAAAAAGGGGAGCTTTGTGTCCGAGAGTGGAGTAAGCGTACTAACGGGTGTGAATCAACGCGATTCATAAATACCTAAACCCATACTTTTCCGAAGTAAATGCAGCTAGATGTAAACAATCTTACTAGGACTATGGCCCCTCCACCCCTACCACTCGAATAAACAAACAGGAAGCCTTGGGTGTTCTCGCATTTGCTTGGTTTCTTCAAATGTCAGAATCCATGTGATGGCGCATTCTAATTGGTCCCTTGCACACATACGTACGCACGCCATGTAAATAACGTGCTTCTCCGCACCCGTCCGCATTCATTGTTTAAATGACGGGAAAAAATGAAGGTGGCCGAAGGCCTTCCTCAAATGACCTCAACAGTCAGACGACTGCAGGAACACATTTACCTCAACTTCAACAGCCTCTCACCTTCTTCAAACAATGTAAACGCAAACGACTAAGAAAACACTTACACAAAACGGTTAATCTTGTTTTGTGTAAATTGACGCCTCTCTTGATGCTCTGCAGTGGCATAATTTTCTGTTTCGTCGGCAGTCTACAGCACCTGAATCCCTTGCTCTCATGTGGTTGTGTCCTCATTATCGCCTCAGTTGGATTTACCCTGCAGGCCTGCTTCTGGAGCCGGTCCCGGCCAAATAAGTTTTCTGCGTCAGAAATTCTTCGAGTGACGGCAACAAAAGAGCTACAGAACCTTCAGAAAACCAGTGAGGTTGAGAGTGTACATCAATCGAAAGAAGGGAGTGAAGAAAGAACTCAACCACCACATCTGCCTCCTCGACAAACTTCGGTAAATTCACCAATGGATCTTCTACAAGTTCGTAGACTTAGCATGGAAATGAATCGTGTAGCGAGCGAACTCAGGAAGGCGGCTAATCAGCGTGCAGTTGGTGTAGGACCTGCCAGTTTCGCACGAAGGCT